TTTCCCATCCTAAGTAGATAGCTGTGACTCTCCCCTAAGATCCACGTTATAATCTTGTTTCCAAATCAATGCAGAAAAAACAACTTAGACTTACAAGTGCAAGGATATCTTTTACAGTAGCTGCTAGTCTGATGCATGTGCTTCACTTCAAAATCCATACATTATATTTTGCTAAGTTATTGACAATTTTCTCAGGAGATTTGCAGCTTTATATGTCAGTAAACATATCTTTTCTCTGGATGGTGAGATTGATGAGATTGTGGGCCATACATATTTATTTCTAAAAGAGCAGCTTGAGCTTTCAACTATGCCACCCTCTTCTAGTATACTGCATGGAACCATAATAGGTCTGTTTCAATTTTTGCTTGCATTTTTCTTGCTCTCTACCTTCATATGTTTAGATTTGAAAATTTGATATGTGCAATGACTATACTTTAGTTAAATACTGATCCCCAATCTTGCATTTGCTTCTGGCTTATGGACATGTTCAATTTTTTTATCTTTAAATAACATGTATGGCATGCATAAGTATACATCCCCATGTCTGTACCTCACAAATTGTGATCCATGATGCCATTTGATGTTCTAGAATTCCAATCTCAGTGTCCTGATAATTAGAATATGGTATTGGAATGTACATGTTATCTTGAACCTGTTATTGTCCACTGTCATGTGGCAAGGATTATTGGATATCAAATCTGGTAGTGAAATTTTGGTGCTCACACTTTAGTTTATTTAATACCAGGCTGTAAATTCTTTTCACATCATGACCTGGCATTACTGCATGTTTTAGCAGATCAGTTTATTGCTTGCGGTAAATCGAGAGACATGGCTCATGATCTTGCTTCCCAGATTTGGCTGGCTGTTCTTGACAATTTAGAGGAAAATGAGCACACTTTTCAAATACTTAAACGTCTCGCACAAGAGGGGGATGTAAGCTATCTTTTCTGTTAATTAATATACTCACTATAACTACTGTGGAGATACCGAGCATACGTTAGTTCAGTCTTTTCTCTCTGACATTTACTATCTGAATTGATATATGAAATTACTTAAAGAGGATGTGTAGGCTGATAGTATTTTGTTTTAGTGGTGGAGAATATGGATGATACTGTAGAAATTACCTGTATTTTTGTGACAAAGCACCATACAAACACGACCAAGTTTATCCTGTTCTTGCAAAATGTTTATTTTCTTTGATGTGGTATAGGTCAGCTGCTGCTAATTCATTCATATTCAGCAGGTTTTTCTTCCATACCCCTACTCAAGATCATTCAAAGTCCAATGGAGGGTGTTTGAAAAGCTCTTCACAGATTTTCGCGACTGCTTTGATCATGTAGATTACTATGATGTGTTGGCTTGCGCAAAGACCAAATTTCAGCCAATACCATCCACTTGGTTAGGTTACTGATCCACCTCAAATGCCTATTTATTCAGGATTCATGAGTATTTGTATACATATAGGGGTCACTCTTTGCTTCTGCCTTCCGTCTCATCTTGAAGAGAATGGCCGTCTGAAAAATTGAAAGTCTTGTGTAACATGCTTGATAGGAGCATAAAGAAACTGTTTATTTTTGTACTGTTAATAGTTGCATGATTCGAATATGTACCCAAATAGAGGAGAAGAGTCGCTTGAAATTTTTTGTTGTATAACTACAAGAACCACGAGAATGTAGTGCAACTTGAAATTATATTTTAGCACAAAAGCAGTGAACAGGATTCTTTTTGGGTCAAACCCCCTTTTTTTCTTTTTTTGTGGTCAATAACCCCCTTATTTTTTGTTAGACTAATTTATAAATGCCATTAGAAGT